GTGAATTCTCTATTCTTGTTGCTTGATGATTCCCGAATACAAGTCATAATCGTTATTCATGCATGCTTAGCATATACCCATACACGCGAATACGATCCCGACGCCCGTAGTCATCCTTGTTTGATAGGTTACTCGTTTATATTGCTTTCTTATTTCGTTTTCTATAGATTCCAATTACTTCCACCATCACTTGCTTGCTTGTTTTGATCTATTTTCGATTTAGATTTGGATTTAGCAACCGGTCCTTGTGTTCGACCCCGTGTTACGACGATCCGTATCCTTGCGGTGAGTTGTGAATCGGGTTATAAATTCTAGACTCGGTACACACGTATCAAGTTTTTGGCGCCGTTGCCGGGGACTGGTTAGCCTATTTCTAGGTCTTTATTGATTCTAGATCTTAGCTTGTTTTCTTTTTCTTTTTCTTCTTGTTTTTTTTTCTCTTTCTTTGGTTTTTGCGGATTCACTTGGTTTCGAGTTCTTCTTTTTCTTTGCGATTTGCAGGGTTCTAGTGCATGACAAGGAGCTCTACTCGGAGAGAAGACCTAGTCTACGATCCGGAGATTGAGCGTACTTTGAGAGACATCCGAAATCAGCAGAGAAGAGGAGGTATGTCGAGGTCAAGCAGTTCGCACGACCATCAACAAGAGCGTGAGGTTCATAATGAGGAGCACCACATGAACCAAGAGCGCATGAATCCGCTCTACGATCAGCATACTGAGGGTGAAGCTACTTATAATGCAGAGGAGACTTTGGGTTCTTATATTGCACCGAAGCACACCCAACTCCTATCATGCATCAACCGTCCGCCCATTGACAGTTTCGAGCTACCGCCACAGTGCATCACGATGTTCAGTCAGGCGAGCTTCAGAGGGCGGCCCACAGAAGATCCCATTGCTCACTTGACTCAGTTCAAGATGTTGTGCAGATCGGTTAGGAAAGCCAGAGGGATGACCATTGAGGATGTCTATTTGGAGGCTTTTCCTTTTTCACTGATGGACCGGGCGAGAGATTGGCTCTACACCCTTGAGCCGAACTCGATTATGACATGGGAGGAGCTAGAGGAGCAGTTCATGGCGAAATACTACTCCCCAGAGAAGACCCGAGCCGCGCAGAGAGCTATACATAGCTTCACTCAGGAGAGTGACGAGAGTCTATACGATGCATGGGAGAGATTCAAAGGCTATCAGCGCCTTTGTCCACACCACGGCATGGATAAGCGACTGTTGCTTTCCACATTCATCCACGGACTGAGAGACGATACTAGAGCATGGATGGATGCAGCTTG